CTAATATTCCAATGTCAACTCATTCAAACATACAAAATAACTGTGTCACCCAAACTCAATATGGCTACAAGTTTATACCTCTGGTCAACAGACTTAGAAATTCAGGACTAGAGTTCAAATGAGAGACTTGGCCTAGAGATATGAGAGTAATATGTCTAGAATAATAATCATTACTTAACACAATTATTAAGGAGCTCTGGTAGTGCAGTGGTTATGAATCAGGCTACAAACCTTAAGGTCAGCAGTTTGAAACTACCAGCTGTTCCACGGGAGGCTTTCTGCTCCGGTAAAGATTTACAGCCTCGGAAACCCTGTACAGGGTCACTATGAGTCAGAACTGACTCCACTGCACATAACATAACAACAACAACACAATTATTAGTTAAAATAATAGTAAAATATATGACTTAACAAGGCAGTCAGGATGTCGAGAGTTTCAATCTAATAGAGAACTAACAGAAAATAGAAGTTTAAAATTAGCATTTCAAGAGTTTTTGTTAAGTGCCTTCTAGTTGGTTTTGACTCATAGCAACCCTGTAACAATTTCAGAGGCTTCAAATCTTCACAGGAGCAGAAAGCCTCATCTTTCTCATAAGGAGCAGCTGGCGGGCTTGAACTGGTTCACAGTCCAGTGCTTATTGTATGGTGCCACCGCATACCAAGATTGAAGAGAGTGTGTTTAAAATTCCATTTTTATGAACTAAAGCTAAATTCCACACAATAACTTGAATTATTATATCCATGATGTGATGAAACATTTTGAGATTTTTAATGTCTCTCCCCCACTGATTGAAAGAAAGGTAATTGAAAGTTCCACTTTATCTCTATTTTTACTTTTCTATCTTCCAGCCCAATTTCTCATATATTCTCAAACTTGCAAAAATCCAAAGCAGAGATTTCACAATTAGCAAAGATTAAATAAAGCCTTTTTATCTTTATTGAGTTTCAAGTTCCTTAAAGACCATCCAGTTTTTAGAATTGGGTTAATACTCTCTTTGAAGTCTAGATTGTACCTTTTTAAGCACTATTCTTCCTATCAGATTAAAATATTCTTTATCAGTCATCAAGACTTTTATAAAAGTTATGCAAAAATAAAGTGTATGTACAAGGGTAAGTACGTTGTGGCAAAAATCACAGAAACTTTTATTAAAGAAAAATAAAAAAAACGTAAAGCTATTGTTTTTTTTATATATATATATCCACCAAGTCTATACACTTAAGACAGTATTTCCATTTCTTTAACCCTTCACCAAAGAATTTCAATATGCAGATTTTGCATATTGAAGGGACTCAAATTGTGCTTCTGTTAAATGTTCTTTAGAGTTTGCGGATCAAAAGAAGTCTGAAGGGGCAAGATCAGTGAAGAGTGGATGGGTAAGGTTTCCCAATGAAATTCTCATAGGATAGCCCTAGCTACCCTCAAAGAATGAACAAGTATATAGTCCTGGTGTGGCACTGTAGGAGAAATCCTGGACTACTAACCACAGGTCGGTAGTTCAAACCCACCAGCCACTCCTCGGAAACACTATACATGGTTGCTATGAATCATAATCCAATTGACATAACTTAACAACAACAACATAACCATGATAACCACAAGATTGGCGGTTCAACCCACTAGCCACTCCTCGGAAACCCTATACAGGGTTGCTATGAGTCAGAATGGACTCAATAGCACTTAACAACAGTCATGATAGAAAAGATTCCTCAGCACAACTTTCCCAGCCTTTTTCTCAACAATGCAGCTTCCCATTTTCTTAAGACGTCTTCATAATAAGCCCTCATAATCATCATGTGTCCTTTGAGAAAAGCCTATCAATATTACTCCTTGGCATCCTAAAGAACAGTTGCCATAACCATCTCAGCTGACCTCTATCCATTCATGTAACTGGCCCTGCAAATTCCCTGGGAAGCCACTGTTTTGACTGAACCTTTTTTTGAAGGCACCCAAACAAGACTGACAAGTATATTCCTGATAACTTGTCTGCAGCCACCCACTGATCTCAGTAACATATTTAAACATGTCTTGTTAAGAGTACTAGTGGCAATACTTTTAGACTTTTTTTTTTGCACTAATTCTAAAGTCATAAATTATCGAAAAATACTATACTGGTGTTATTTTAAAGCCAGAGGGTTCAATTATACAGTGAAACCTCTTGTATTTAAAACAAAGTTTCCACTTCTCCCTAAAATAAATTGCCCCCTCTTTTTAAACATGTAATCAATCACTCCCAGAGTAAGAATATCTTTTCCAGTTGTTAAAAGTTTAAGTGATCTAATAGCAGTAATTGTTGTAATATAATGTGTGTGTGTGTGATTATATAGAGATCTAAGATGCTGGAATTGAGTAGAATATTCATGTCACACCACATTTAAACATTAGGTTAATGTTAAGTCACATAGTTTCCTCTTATTTTAACATCAGGTTTAAACGTCCTAGGAAAAACTTCAACTAAAATCTACTTTGATACGTCAAAGAGAAGTTTGAGTCTTTGAAAATCCGGTCCTTTATTGCACACTTTCTTTAAAGTCATGCATATTAAAACACACATACTTTCTCTATTCCGTTTATACATTGTATCAAGAATTGTATGTTCAAAATGAAGATGGAGAAATTGTGTTGTTTCTTCAAGTATATTGGTAACATGACTCCATTTTTGTATATAGCTAAAATAATCGTAAAAGATGGAGCACTTCATTTTAAGATACTCATTCTTTAAAATAGTGTCTGCGAAGTATAAGCAGCTCAATCTGCCGGTTTTGAAAAGCCTAAATTCGATTTTTTATGGTAGACGTTACACAAAATGAAACACACAGCTGACAATCTTTAACGCTAAAAGCATATATATATGTGTGTATATATATATATATGTATTAA